CTGGCTATCCAGCCCCGTACCGTATTCTTGTTTGGGTGTGGTCACACCATGCCCATATGGTGTGACACACCCCCCTGTTACTAGGGTATGTGTAATCCCGTTACACTCTCCCCCATTAAGATTTACAGTTCCAATCGATTATTGCCTCAACGAGGCTTGCGTGTCCGTTAGACCCTGCGCTGGAACGAAATAACTTCCGTGCTCAATGACCCTGTGTCAATGACACCGAAGTTTCCGAGTCTCGCTGGTTCCGACAGCGCTCACGGACATAGCCCAACCGCGGGGCCATTTCGGACCGTGTGTCCGCGGCATCGAGGAATGTAAATTCTAGGCTCGATGAGCCCGAGCGTCTCGCTCCGCGCACGCTATCAGTGACGAGTAACCTCGTTGGGGATGTGGGGGTGGTCGACTACGAGTATGACACTCCTTTTCCGGGTGGAATGACGAGGCAAGCGAGCCGAGCCAGTGGCGTGAGATGAGCCCTGCTCGCGCCTTGCGGACCCTATGTCCATTTCCTGACCTCTCATCACCTGAGGGACGTGGTGTCATCACCAATGACCTCGACGAGGTACAGAGGCGGCAGCTTGAAGCTGCCCGTAAGGCGGCTCTAATGCGCGCCTATCCACGGCCGGTCATTGATCTTCGTGTGGAATATGGCTTCCGCCCGGCGGATCCCACTGTGGAAGCGAAGGACGCGGTAACTCGATCGTTACGCGTCTACATCATCGGGCCCCCGGCCATTACGGAACTGGACTTGCCGAACAGAAAGCTCTTCAAGCTCGTTCTTGGTCCCACAATACTTCTCGCTGGAAGCTTATCGCACTCGTCTGCGTGCTTAACGAGGTGGCTCTCGTATTCCCGCAATGCGGACGATACCTGTAGTGCTCGCCCCTGGCGAAAGCGCTACAGGTGACGAGGTGCTCCTTGACTGACGGGTGCAGCGGCACTGAGAAATTTTCTCACTGTATGCCTGACAGTTGAGCCACAAGGAAGTGGATGTGCGTGTGGAGTGCCAACTCCGATCTGAGTTTGCCAAACTCAAAGCACGCCGTCGACCCGCTTTAGATTGTCGCTCTGCGACGTATGGGTCAACCCCTGACGCTCCCGCGAACTCTGTGTCTGCGACCGCAAGAGCTCAGGGCCACCGCTTGAGCTCAGCTCATGGCCCTTCTACTTCCCTGGTTATTGCCGGGAAGCGCGGGGCGTCCTGATCTTTTTGATCAAAAGTGTCCACGGCGTCTGGGCAATCTTGCTGAAGTGGCGTCTCAAACTCCCACGAGTTTTACTAGTCGGGATTTCCCGCTACTTCACCAGATATTGGGTCTGACCCCGGTGACGACGTCGTCTCACAAGACGTTT